AGTCCACAAAAAAACACCGTTAAAGTCCACACAACTTTTTTTATTATTATTAAAAAATCAATTCGCTTTTTTTTAATCCCGATGGTATAGATCTAATAAAAAGCATGGACTTCTGTTCTTGGAAAGTATTTCTTATCCGCTTGAATTATATTTTTGATAAATGAAAAGATTCTGATTTTGATCCCCATAAAAGATCTTTGCATGTATTGTGATTTTCTATGAATCAAAGGGACCGTTTTGGCTGCTGTGGAGCATAACAGAAACTGAATGGATTTCGTCTTATGTTTTATAGATATTTGCGAAGATATTTGCAAACGAAATTTCAATGTCAAATATAGGCTCCAAGATAGACTTTAAACCATAAAGTTCTTGTTTGAAATCAAAATAATGATAAATAAAAGAATTCCACACATGAATTTTGTGGTGCTAAGCAGATTTCGATCACTCATTAGTTTGCATGTTTGTTTGGTTTTCAAAAAGGAAAATGTATTTGTTTCAGAATGCTTTGAAGATCAATTGAATAGATTATACGCAGATGCGGTTCTGTATTATGTCTTACCCATGATAAGTACAAGTATAAAAGATTTGCGCACATTTTTAGAATGAAGCGCTTCCGCGCTTCATACAAAGTGTACTTCGGTCAACGCTTTTACACCCAAATGAATTTACAAAAAGAAGCATTCAGTTCTTAAATACAGGCATTTGTTAAAATCTTAAACTTATATTGTTACAATTACATGAATAAAGAGAATAAGCGAAAATTCAATCAATTGAAATGAATTATTTATTTTCTTTTTTGGCACTCTCGCCCACAAGGAACATTAGATTTTTTACATTTACATGTTTTGTTCACGCATATTCCTTTCCATTTACATTTTTTAGTAAAGTTCCTAAATATTCGAAAAACTTTTCTTCCCACATTATGTTTACTTCCAATAACTTCAATTTCAGCGAGCATAATTCAATTTCGTGTATTACAGACATGCTAAATACAGAAGATTACCATATCATATGAACATGACTTCTTTGAATAATTTAAATTTCAAGTTTTTATTTCAATTGCAATTGAACTTTTAGTATTAATTTAAGATTTCAGTTATGTTGATCTGTAATGTACATTTGTATCTAATACACAAAATAAGGCAGACCGTACGCGTACAGTCCGACCGTATGCGTATTTTAAAAAAGTACGCATTCGCTCCAGACCGTACGCGTACAGTCCAAATAATAATATGGTCTGAAACATATATGTTGTAGGTCACTATAAAACAATTTGAAGATGCAAATTTGATAAAAACACTCATAAATAAAATTGACTGAACTTGCATAAACTAGGTTTCAGATTTAGATGTAATCACTTTATTTGAAATACAAATAATGTTGGAAGATAAGTTTTTAGAAAATTTAGGAACTTTACTACATAAACCGTCAAGCCAGCTGTTTACTTGTGAGAAGACTGATAGAACTAAACTGAAATGCTTAATATGTAGTTTTGACAGTTTCTCAGATATTATAAGTGATATTAAAGTCATGTATACATCTTGTGTATTGAATGGATGTAAGATGTTCATGACTGTCTGTCTGGTCTGTGACATATTTCCTTGACCTTCTTTAATGGTTCATTAGTCAAAGTTCTTATTTCTTGATGATGTTTGCTTCCGAGATACTTTAAGCGATAGTTAACTTAATTTGGTATATCATGGGATGAATTTATACGGCCTCCATGTCTGTCTGAAAAGATTTATCTCACCTTGACATCATGTTCATTGATCATTGAATTGATAATTTAATGTATTGCTTGTTGTAAAAAAAATGTTCACTTTCAAATAACTTCAATTATAAGCACTAAAACAGGGAAGACATTTAAGTGTGTCCAGTCTTGTTTTAATAATTCTGTAAACAATGTAGGTTCTTAAATACGTTAATCCGATAGCAATTATCAATACAAAAATATTGGGATGGAGAGTGGTCTCATTGGCAAACATACCACATCTTATTTACACAATACATGGGGTCATGATGATGTACCCTATCCTCCCCTTTTTTACGAGGCAATATTTTGTCAAAGTTCTGATTTCAAGCAATTTATACAAATAACGTTTACCTATCTATTCCTGGTCATCTATACTGATATTTTTACTTATTTGTGCTGTTTTACTATCCAGCTATTTTTATATCGGCAAACTATATAAAAGTTGAAAAAATAGCTGGAGGGGAGTGCAGGATACATTATTATGACCCCATGTCCATGTGCTTATGTTTAGTAAAAATTTATTTAAAACTAGCAAACTCGAATTATTATAATATGTCGAATTTCTTGTCGGTGCTCATGTTTTTAAACATCAACATAAAAAAAAACCATTATTAATAACATGTCCCGAGGCTTTTGCTCTGTACATTTATAGTGACGTAAAAAAGTGATTATATACAAAGAATAAGAAAAAAAAACAGTACTTGAAGAATGCAGTAATTATGTAATAACTAACGAATTTACTATGACTAGATAACTTAGAAATGATGTCCAAATTGGCCTGTTTGATTCATTGATCGGATCATCATAATACAAAGATCAAATTAATGGAACAAAATCTTCTACATATACTGTACTTTTTTTCATTTATCAAACTGATAAAAAATAACTACCAACAACAAAAGCCCATGCTTTGTATTGTACTACCGGGATAAAAAAAAAAAGCGAATTGATTTTCTAATAATAAAAAAAGTTGTGTGGACTTTAACGGTGTTTTTGTGGACTTTAGCGGAACTTGTTATTGTGGACTTTAACGGCGTTTTCTTGTGGACTTTAGCGGAGGTCATTTTGTGGACTTTAGCGGCGTTGTGGACTTTAGCGGAAATTTGTTGTGGACTTTAGCGGTGTTGTGGACTTTAGAGGAATTGTGGACTTTAACGGTGCCACAGATCTGCAATTATTCTTCCAAAAATTTAATTCTAGGATTGCTTCGTTGGTTAACTGAATACGAAAATCCCAATAATCGCTAGCGCCGATAAGGATGAGCATATTCCTGGACATTATCCTGCAAATGTTTCCAAAACTGGGAATAAAAGAAATTATCTTGCCAGTAACTCGTGCTAATTGTCTAGCGGTGATATTATTGATGTTGCTAAAATATCATCTATAGAAGTTTTAAAGCGCTCAATCTTATTTTCAGGTATCTCCAAATTAAAAGTGTCCAAATGCCAACGGAACTAAAGCCAAGTTAAAACTTTTGTGGGGTCCCAAATACTTTTTTCATGATTCGGGAAAAAACCCGCCGACAATAAATCTCGCTTAACACAATCCTCAAAAGAGGACTCAATCCCCCAACCATCATCTAAATATATGATCATACGGTAACCTTGTGATCTCCAGTGCTTAACTAGTGGCCTCAAAACTTTAGAAAACACATGACCAGCTGTAGATAAACCAAACGATAAACATCACTAAACGAAATATCGAATGCCGGTTGGAAAAACCCAACAAAAACCTAAAAACTCTTGATGATCTTCATGTATATTAATATGATGATATCCACATATTAAATCAAATTTTATCATAAATCCTGGATTTGATACAAATTGCAAAGCCTCAGTAATGTGATCTTTCACCTCACGAATCATACCTGTTGACAATAATTCTATAATTGACGATTCAACAAAAGATGTGTGTTTCATAGCTTAACTGTTGTTCTTTAAAAAAGCTGACGTAGGCAATTTGTAAAAAGGTATAAGGTATCCAAATTCGACAACGTTATGAACAAAGGTATTAGCATTTAAAGTATATTTCCAAAAGTCTAAATTTTCTCGTAAGTTATCTACTCTAAACGAGCTAGCTGAGGAGCACTCAAATTCAAAATCTTGATCGTGACTTATAAAAGGAGATAACTTGTACTTAACTGTTTCATCACTTTGCTCCTTAAGAACCAATGGTCTCGGCTGGTTGGAACCTTCGTCTCTTTTGGGCAGTGATAGGCCCAGTGACCCTCGCCTTTGCAGTAGTAGCACCTGTCTGTTGGTTGTGATCTGGTGAAGTAGTCATTCTGGTTGTAGATACCGGTGCGAGATCCTGTGCGGGTTTGTGTTCCTTGTCCAATCGGGTATTTGTAGTTTCTAGGTACTTCTCTTGTAGATGCTGATGAAGTTTTACGAAAAGGCTCATCTTGAATCACTTGAGAGATCTCTGGTTCTGGAATATAAGGAGCAGGACGGGTCCTTACTTTGTCACGTCTCTTAGCTTTAGCCCGGTAGTCGGCTTGTCTTAACTTAGTTGCGTCGTCGGTCCCCTCTGTAATTGGGTCGTCTGTATATTCGTCCACGACGTCCCAACCGTATTTGTCGGCTATTAGAAGAGTCTTATTTCTTTCCTTTAGGGCTTTGATGCTCTTTTCTAGGTACTGAATGGCTAAAGCCGGAGAGTCTTTCTCTATGAGTTTAAGGGTCTTTTCAAGTTCTACTAAACGTTCACCGTTAAAACTAAATTGTTTTTCATTACCGTCGTACCTGAATTTAGGAGTCTGTTTTACCAGAGGTACACTTTCAGCTTCTTTAACACCAATTCTCGTGTCAATCTCCTTGAATAGCTCTTCTTTGTGCTTTCTCAAAGTCAAAGCAAGGCTCTGGGTAAACAGCGATAAAGCATCCTCAGGTGAAAATCGAGTAGACCCTTCACGTTCTTCACTGCGTTCAATTCGTATAGGCGATTCCGGTTCAGGTTCAGGTTCACTCGTATTAGCAAGGTCAGTATACGTGTCGATCTGATCAGTGAATTTTCTCGACAAGAGAAAAGGCGCGAAATCCCAATATATATGTATGAAAACCGAATTACCGAGTCTAAGCGTATGCGAATATTTATACGCCAAATTAAGAAATGAATTTATTTATTCATTTATTAAAACCCACGTGATAAGATACAACAGAAGATTATTACATTTACATGATGCGTCTCTTCATATATCAAATTGATTGACATCTATCCTGAAAATCAATACTATTTTTAACGGATGTAAACACTGGTAAATACCTATGTTGTGATCGTGTACATGTATTTCTTAGTGTATTGTACAATACATGATGTGGTCAGTGGTTATACTGTGTGTTTTGCTACCGTTTACTATTGGTTTAGATAATGGTTTGGCCAGAACTCCACCTATGGGTTGGATGTCTTGGGAAAGGTTTAGATGTAACGTCGACTGTAAAAATGACCCGCACAACTGCATCAGGTAAGGTTTTATGATAGTGATCTGGTGCATCTATTGACTAAATCATATGTAAGCGCATGATACATATTGTTCGAGGAGAGAAAGGGAGGGGAGACGGGGTCCCACGCGCAATATGCAAAGAGTTGTCACTAGACATCTAGTTTTACGTCCTCTTAAACATTAGACGTGGCTGTGTATTTACACTGCGTCGACATCTATTTCCACTGCGTCGACATCTATTTCTATTCTTACGCTTCTTGTATAAAGGTATACACAGACGTGCCGCTGTTACATTTAACCTTTTTGGAATGTCAAATATATCAACAGGGTGCTATTTCACGGAGGTAATATACCAATGGGTAGACATGTACAAATGTTTATGTCAAAAGGTCATAAAGGTTCATCTTCTATTAGAAGTGGGACATTTAAAGACGTATCGTATCCCTATCTGATACGTTGACGTATCTGAACGTATCTATGGGTTAATAGTATATATTTATTTCCCGTGCCGGAGGGAGATATGAAGATTTGTTCACCCAAGAATATTCATATTTCACGAGGGCTCTGCCCGAGGGAAATATGATTTTTCGAGGGTGAGCAAATCTTCATATCTCCCGAGGCAATGGGAAATGAATTTTTTATTCCACTGCCTATGCTTTGTTTACTACCAATACATTAAATATTATTATGCATACATTTTTTTCTTATCCGCTTGTTTTTGTAAGTCAAACTAAACACGACATACTCATTGATAAACAGAAAGAATCAACATTTAATTATAAGTCTTTTTGTTTATCGTCTGAAATAAATTTGAACATGATAATGATTTTTGCTATCGCTATTTTAAGAAGAATAAGAAGTTCAAAACGTTATGTACATTAACCGCGCGTAACGTTGCACGAAGTAATCCCGACATTTCAGAGGGGAATATGATCCTCAGAATGGAATATGAAGATTTGTTCAATGACACGTGGGATAGTCTCAACCAATCAAATATTGATTAAACTATCAATATGTTTAAACAGTGGAATAATACATGTATATGGTTTTTTTTCTATGTTAGATATCTTTCGGTCACCAATACTCTCTTTTTATGACATGATAGTTTTTAATTTATGTATAATCGTTTATATCTGAACAATCGAAATTTAAATAATAATGCAGATGTAGTTAATGATGGAGTCAAAATCGTGGTAAAAATATCGAGAATAGGGAAAAGAATGGGAAAATAGGGAAAGAGTGTTGCAATTTTTTCAGTCTCTTTTATTTTAAATATTTGGAAAAAAGTATTGCCTGCCAATTTACAAATTCATTATTATTGGTATTAGTAATCAATCCGACACAATCCTCATTTATAAGCAATAAAGTACGTGTATAAATATTGTTCACGTTAAGGTTTATGACCCCTTTTGTAGTCCTGTGTAGTACGAAATGTTCAAGGTGAAATAATATCAAAACAGCAAAGACAACGAATAAAAGAGATCTGCCATTTCGTACATAAACCAAAAAGAAAATTCATTCAAAGAAATAGTATTTATGTTTTATTGCATTTTATAGAAAATAGGGATTTTGTGGCAAATAAAGCAGAAAATCTACAGACTTCAATACAGATATTTTCGTTATATAATTATAAATATAGATTACTCACTTGTTTGTCCATGATGTGCTAGCGTTTAATTTTGACAAAAAGTCATAAACAACCTTTACATTCCAAAAATCCTCGTGCTGAGTCACTAAAGTCGAGCGCACACTAGAAGGTGTACTTGAATTGGTCCATATTTATATTTGTTTTAACCAATATCTTTATTGATAAACTTGTTTAAAGAAAATCATTGCTAGTGTGAGCCAAAATTTGTTCCTGTGAAAAAAGTTCCAGTGGAACTAATATCACAGGAAATATGTTCTGGGAGAACTTTTTTCACAGATGATTTCTATATAATTTGTTCCATCTCTATAAAATAAGTTCCACACTTTACCTGGTGAAATATGTACCGGGTTGGTGAAATTTGTTCCTTACCTGGTGAAATAAGTTCCGGATTTATGAGATTTGTTTCTTATCTGGTGAAATAAGTTCTGGGTTTGTGAGATTTGTTCCTCGCCTGGTGAAATAAGTTCCTTGTCTGTGAAATATGTTCCACTGGTTAAACAAGCTATCTTATATACTGAGCATTTGTCATCAGTGAGTTTAAAGTTATCATTCAAGTGCATTATAAAAATAAGTATTATATCAATAATAAAAAAGTAAAAAGTGTAAATCATCCAATTCGGATCTTGTGGAGTATAGCAAATGTTTAGTTATATATTCCGTAAAAAATATCAAAATGACACTTTTCAGCCAGAAAAGAGTAGAATAAGAAAAATCAATTATTCAGAAAAAAAGTATAGTTAAAGATGAACATATGTACTTATTTGAAAAGGACAAAGTGACTGATCAGTCAAAAGACATTTAAAAACAAAAGACACACTCTTTTGAAACTGTGCTATGACCTAAGTACATGTATGACTAGAACACGGGGCCATGACAGTTAATAAAAACCAAGGAGGAATACCACATAAAACATAAATACAAGTTATGATACATTACCATCGCTTTTATTTCTTATCTTCATCCTTTAGTTACAGTCATGCCTTCAATTGCAAATGTATTCCATGCAAGCACACTCAGTACAGCACTCAGCTTGCATTATAATTTAAATGTAACAAGAAAATGTTTCGCTTGCAAAGGTACCCATTTTCTGTGAAAATAGGTTTGAGCGGAACTTATTCGTTGATTTCTATGAAATATGTACACGTTCGTTTAAAACAAATATCATAGGAACCTATTTAACTTTTTAAAACTCTTAATATCAATTGGAACAAAATTCATAGAGCTATGATTTTTGTTCCTGAACTTATTTCACTTTTGGTCATAACAATAGTTCCGGAACAAATTTTACAGTGCTGGAACATATTTTCTGTGATATAAAGTCCGGTGGAACATATTTCCTATGAAATTTGTTCCGGCGGAACAAATGTCACGCCTGAACAAATTTTTTGTTACACTAGCACTACTTGTAATAATCCTCTATCTAACACGCACCGAATTATCAAATATTAGAGGACAAGGGAAAGGCTGTGGATTTTCTATAAAATGTCCATGTTCAGCATTGAAACAACAAAAGGGTACACAATCCTTCACTTTTTGAACTTCACGCCTGGGTAGTTCTAATGATTCAAATATCAATATAGTATATAGATTGACACGAAAATCACGTGATTGTTAAATGTGTGTAAATGTTAGCTTCTGAAGTCGTCAATGTAATGTTTTCATAATTAGGTCTTTCCACCTTTCCGTGGAAAGACCTATTGGTTTTCTTCTGATTATTTTTTTTTTCTTCCGCCTAATTTTTTTCTTGCGGTGTATTTTTGTTTCAAAAGATGTGGCTTAGTTTTTTGGTATATGATATCATACAGTCTATACGCTTTTGAAACTGACCCTGTTTAACCGAACACTTTTCTTTGTAAGAGTTATCTCCCCAAACACTGTTTTTCTTGTTATGAGATCTCCTCCGCAACCGTAAATGAAAGCGACAAATTAATTTTTCCAAATTGCTCGTTATATCCTCAGGATGTTAGGTTTTATTTAGACCGAAGCTTTACGAAGACTCCATATGAGAGTTATTTCCCCTTTTGTATTTGATATATGTGTAATGTATTTGTAACTGGAAAACCATAAGTGATAGAGGCCAAGGGTCTTTTGATTTAAGGTCCTTGGTCCATAAAAATGAAAATGAGGTCGAGGTCAAAGGTCAAGGTCATGTTAAAAATTTTGATTTTGGCTTGTTATCACTAATTTTCAGAAATCTTATAAGATATCGACAAATTTTTTTACAGAATTGTTAGTTGCGACATGTTGTAACACGTAAATTTGAGTTGAAAGGGTACGGAGACATTTAATGGGAATTTTCTCCCCTTTTATATTCAAAATTACATGTATGGTGATATAACTTATTCATCTTATAAAATTGAGACCTAGGGTCTTTTGATTTGAGGCCCTTGTTTCATGACCTTTAAATTGGGGTCAAGGTCAAAGTTTAATTTGACGTTCTATTTTTTTTTTTTTCTTCCGCCTAATTTTTTTCTTGCGGTGTATTTTTGTTTCAAAAGTTGTCGCTTAGTTTTTTGGTATATGATATCATACAGTCTATACGCTTTTGAAACTGACCCTGTTTAACCGAACATTTTTCTTTGTAAGAGTTATCTCTCCAAACACTGTTTTTCTTGTTATGAGATCTCCTCCGCAACCGTAAAAGAAAGCGACAAATTTATTTTTCCAAATTGCTCCTTATATCCTCAGGATGTTAGGTTGTATTTAGACCAAAGCTTTACAAAGACTCCATATGAGAGTTATTTCCCCTTTTGTATTTGATATATGTGAAATGTATTTGTAACTGGAAAACCATTAGTGATAGAGGCCTAGGGTCTTTTGATTTGAGGTCCTTGGTCCATAAAAATGATAATAAGGTCAAGGTCAAAGGTCAAGGTCATGTTAAAAATTTTGATTTTGGCTTGTTATCACTAATTTTCAGAAATCTTATAAGATATCGACAAATTTTTTTACAGAATTGCTAGTTGCGACATGTCATAACACGTAAATTTGAGTTGAAAGGGTACGGAGACATTTAATGGGAGTTTTCTCCCCTTTTATATTCAAAATTACATGTAAGGTGATATAACTCATTCATCTTATATAATTGAGACCTAGGGTCTTTTGATTTGAGGCCCTTGTTTCATGACCTTTAAATTGGGGTCAAGGTCAAAGTTTAATTTGACGTTCAATTTTTTTTTTTTTTTTCTTCCGCCTAATTTTTTTCTTGCGGTGTATTTTTGTTTCAAAAGTTGTCACTTAGTTTTTTGGTATATGATATCATACAGTCTATACGCTTTTGAAACTGACCCTGTTTAACCGAACACTTTTCTTTGTAAGAGTTATCTCCCCAAACACTGTTTTTCTTGTTATGAGATCTCCTCCGCAACCGTAA